TATTAAAATAAGTTGAACATTTCTTATTCTACGGGGAACATTTTTGTGACATGTGTTGAACAATTTCTAAATACACATCGAATATTTTTCTGACATACTTTGAACATTTTTAAATACGTTGCACTTTTTATTATTATATAGGGAACATTTTTTCTCAACATACAATAAACTTTGTATAATACGCGAAAAATATATAAAAATAAAAAAGGAAAACGAAAAAGAAAAGAAATAGAAAAATAACAGAAAAGAAAAGAAAAAACAGAGCTACCGTGGACCGGCCCAAACTGGGGCGTCGGGAGCCGAGATTCAGCGAACCCACGTCCTTTTGACGGAGAGCTCCTATGTGACGCTCTCTATCGCATAGGGGATCGACAGACTGGGCCGGCCCATCTCTCTCGTGAACAGTAGCTCATGCTGTGAATAAAAAAAGATAAGTTGCCCGGAATAGAACACTAGACCTGCTGCTTACGAGCATACGCCTCGAACAAGTTGAGCTAGCTAGCTTTGTTGTTCACACAACATTGCAAAATCTTAAGAAAACTCAAACACCGATCCTAACATCTTTAAAAAAATTGAACACAAAACATTTTTTTCAAAAACAAAACGTGAATGTTTTATCAAACGCCAATATTATTATTATTTTCACAAATTCTGAGAAAATTCAAACATTTTTCAACAGACAAATGAATTTTGGAGATGGGAACATATTTTTTAGAACGGAAAACATTTTTTAAACTACCCAAAAAATTGAACAGGAACAACTTTTTAATGCTAATATTTTCTGAAACTCCAGAACAAAATTTGAAAAAATGAACATTTTTTAAAATTTGCAAACAATTTCGGAAACGGAACATTTTTCAAAACTCTAAACAAAACTTTTAAATATGAACATTTTTTGAAATTTTCGAACAAATTTTGGAACAGGAACACTTTTCCAAACTTCCAAACAAATTTATGGGAGTTACGAACATTTTTCAATTTGTGAACAAAAATTCGGAAACATGAACATTTTATAAATTTGTGAACAAATTTGAAAAGCTGGAACACTTTTTGAAATTCCAAAACATTTTGCGAATGCAATTTTTTTTTTAAAATAGGAGCATTTATTGAAACTCATGAACAAAAAGAAAACAAACATTTTTCTTAAATTTGCAAACAAATTTTGCAAAGTTGTGAAATTTTGAAAAAAAAACATCAAGAGAAGAAACAGAAACTAAAAAAAGAAAAGAAAAAAAGAAAATAAAAGAAATTCGAAAAGAACAAGAAAAATACCGGGTTCAGGGAACCTTCTAGAAGGTTCCCAAAACCGGTTACACGCACTTTTTGTTAGTGGGCCGGCCCATGTTGGTCGCTCGCGGGCGCTCTCTGTGCGATCCTCGACAGTTCGCCGCAGAGAGGGGCGAATAGGTTTTCCCTTTTGACGCTCACGACCGTCAAATATGATCTCGCTGAAGGGAAAGCCCGATTGGGCCGGTCCACTTGGCGTCACGCGCGCCAGTGAAGGAATTCAAAAATTCTGGCGCACGCTTCCTTCTCCTCCTTTCTTTCTTTTTCTGTTTTATGTTCTTATTTTTTGCTTTATTTTTGTACTTTTCTTTATAATTTAAATTATTCTACACACACACACATAAGCATGCACGCGCGCGCGCGCACACACACACACACATGCATGCACGCGCGCGCGCGCACAACACACACACGTATACACATGATCATGTATATAAAAACGTTGAACATTTTCGCAAAAAAACAAAAAAAACGTTGAACAAATATTTGAAAAAAATGTTGAGCAACTATTTGAAAAAAAGTTGATCATGTATATAAAATGTAGAATGAAAACTACATTTTGAAAATGTTGAACAAGTATTTAAAAATGTTGAACAAGTATTTAAAAATGTTGAACAAGTATTTAAAAATGTTGAATAAGATTAAAATGTGGAACGGGTATCTGAAAAATATCAAACAAGTTTTTGAAAAATTTCAATAAGTATTAACAATGTTGAATAGGTATTTGAAAAATGTTGAATGAGTATTCAAAAATGTTGAATGAGTATTTGAAGAACTATTTGAAAAATGTTCAACAAGTATTTGAACAAATATTTCAAAAATGTTGAACGAGTATTTGAAGAAATGTTGATCATGTATATAAAAGTGTTGAACAAATATTTGAAAAAAATGTTGAGCAACTATTTGAAAAAATGTTGATCATGTATATCAAATGTAGAATGAAAACAAATGTTGAACAGGTACTTAAAAAAATGTTGATCAAGTATTTTAAAAATGTTAACCAAGTATTTGAAGAAATGTTGAAAATGTATCTAAAAATGTAGAATGAAAAACAAAAAGAAACAAAGAAAATAAAAAATTAGAGAAGAAAAAGAAAAGAATGAAAAAATCAGAGAAATAAGATGAGGAAACAAAGAAAAACCGGAGAAGACCGGCTCTCGCCTCTAGTAGGTCGCACTACTAACCAGTAACACCATGCAGGCGGAGTGGTTAGTCGCGCCGGTGATCACCCTGGAGACGAGGGTTCAAGAGCAACTAGTTGGCGAGCGCTCCTTCAGGAGCCTCCCAACGATCACTTGGGGTGGGCTGAGAACGCGCCAAGTGGCGTAGCCACCGCCATGTGCTGCATGCTGGGTTCTCCCTCCGAAATTTTTTATATTTTGCCGCATGCGTTTTTGGCTTTTCAAACGGTGTTTTTTTCTTTGTTTTCTTGACTTTTTGGTTTTGACCGGTCTTCTTTAGATTTTGCACCCAAATTTTTTAAAAAAAATTTGTGTGAAAAAACATGTTTTTTCCCTTCCGCGAGAGGCAACGTTTTGCTTTCCATTGGTTATATCATTTATTAGTATTGGCTCTAAATGCAAAGATAGTTACAATAATAAGTACCTTGGGAACAAGGGTGATGAGTCATGTGAAGGATGATATGGTGAAGATGATCGTTGTGTGCTTCTTGAAGATTTGTCGTGCGCGACGAATTTAGAACTGATAAGTCATATGTCTTGGTATGTTTGCTCTTTTGCTACTCCTTATATTGATTGCCATCCAACATCATCCTTGTATCAAAGTATGCATGACAAACTTGTTCCTAATGTCCAATTAAATGTTTTTAATGAATCCACTCTTTCTTGTCATCATTTTTCTATGCAGACATCTCCTACAATCAGGTTTAAGAAGATGAAAACTCATTATAATTTATTGATAGATACTTCTGACCTCATACTATACAGAAGCATCTGATTAATTTAATTTTGCAAGCCATTTAAGTTTATGCAACACATTAGACGGTATATGGCTTAATATATGTATTCCTTGTTTGAGTAAACCAAAGACTTGTAAAATCTGGTTTATGTATCTCTTTATATGCTCATAATTGATTACTTGAAATAAAAGCTCAAGAAATCTTATTCGACTCAACATTATTGACTCATGTCTCTGGAGTTATAACTTTAATTATTTTTTGGTTCTCAACATTTTGTTAAGATTTTCAGGAAGGACTTGAAATGGTGCCCTAGGTTCAACAAGCTAAAAACGGTGTTACTCAATGAATGGTGTCTGACTGCAAACTTCACTGGACCACTTCACTTTCTTCAGCACTCACCAAATCTAGAAAAGCTCACCCTTCAACTTCCATATCACAAGGTATATGTTTTTTTAATATATGATAGCATTTTGACATTGACTCATGTGAAAGCTACAACCCAACGGAATATTTCTTGGTCTCAAAGCATCTCAAGATAGTTCAAATCCATTGTCACAAGGAAGAGGAACGGATTGTCATGTTTTGAAGATCCTTTGTACTCATGGAGTAACTCCTGCGCAAATTAACATCAAACATGATTTTAGGCCTTCTGCCTGTAAGTAAATATTACTGCAATTCGCCAATGTTTATGTGGTCTGCATGTAAATTCTTAGTACAAGAATGAAATTATTCTCGACAAATAAACCTTAAAATATATTTAAATTTCAAAATTAGGCATTGAACAATTTGGTATTTTTAGAAAATGAAAAAAGTCTATTAGGATGTTACATCATATTCGGCTTACGTTTTTCCGTTGAAAATGTGATTAGGCCAAATGAAGTGAAAAATGTAAATTGGGCAAATAAACAAGGGGAGGTATTTTTTTCACAATTTAGTTCCTTTTGAGGGGTTGGGGGAATGGTTTCTCTTCATTCAATACCTCATCCTTCAAGTACGAGCCTAGCAATATCAAGTTGTATGTTTGTCTAATCTTCCAAAACAATTTCTTATGCAACATTTGCCACACTTTAGTTGCGCCCGCTATTCAATCGTACCTTCTCATGTTTTCAACTTTTAATTTGTACTTGTATGTGCTCATTGTGTCTTCTATGATTTACGCAGGGTTCAGTTTCCAGCACCTGATCATATGGTCTACCCTTCCTGGTTATTCAAGCTTCCATTCCCGAAATAATCTTTGCAGCATAGCGTTGTTGCGTTTTGCCGTGTCTCTATTCCATTCATGTAAGGAAAATTCTCTACATTTTTTTTTTGACGAAAATCCTCTACATGAATCCTATCCTCCAAAATTCCTATGTCCTTACTTTGTTCCGAACGGGGCCTTGGCAGTAGCAGAGCTGTGGTCAAAGTTGTAGGTTAGGAAACCTTGGAAGTTAAGCAGGCACTAATAATGAAGCAATGTTGGTAGAGTACAGTAGTCTCAGTGGACTCTTGTGACAGGTCTTCCTTGTTCACACAAGCATGACAGCGGGAGGCATCACGTACAAACGTACGCGCTCAGAAAGTAAGTACTCGTACAACTACAGTACTACGTACTCCGTAGTATAGTAATGATCGTTTAAACATACCGAATTACCACTGGTAAGTGGTAAGGTAAATTAACAGATGAAGATGATCAGTTTGCTAAAGAAGCACCGGCCGGGCGGTGGGTGGTACAGGGGAGAGGAGAGTATCGTCGCCGGCCAGCTCCCCCATGTCCGTCCGTCCGTCCGTCCGAGGGGTCGTCGTCCTCGTGCCTCTACGAGGGGGTGACCTCCGGCTCCGGCTCGGCGTTGAGGTCGAGGCCGCGGGGGACGAGCCGCCGCGGCGGCGTGGCGTTCTCGGCGACGCGCTCGTCGGCGGGCTGCTGCGATGGAGGCGGCGGTGGTGGGGCGGGCGGCGCGAAGTCCTCCCAGGAGAAGCTGGGGCACCATGCCGGCGCGCGCGGGGCCGGAGCCGGGGCGCTGGCCCTGGCGGCGGCGACCCCGCCCGAGACGAGCCGGCGGGAGGCGTCCCGCATGCGGCGGAGTATGGCGTAGAACTCCTCGACCTCGGTGTCGGATACGTCTTCGACGCCGACGGGGGCCGGGGCTTCGGCGGACGAGCGCTTGCGCTTGGCGGTGCCGCTCGGCGTGTCCATGGTCACCAGCGCGCGCGGGGCCGGCAGCCGTTACGGTTTGCTTGCTTGGTGGGCAAGGGATGGGTGCGTTTATCTCTCTCGGAAGAAAAGAAGAACCTACGAAAGCCTACGCTTATTATATGACCCCAAAAAGATTGGCCGCCGGTTGGAAAACAAAGAGAGATAAAAAAGAAGGTTCTTTTTCTTTTGTTTAAGACGCGACGGCGACTAACTCCACCACCTACAAGTAACTAGTGCAGTGCAGGTGTAAGTGTAAAGCACCGCGACCAAATGAAATTACTCGGCGACCGGGCTCGCGTACGATGCGATCACCGGCTCGGCTCGTGTTGGTCTGGCCGCAACGGGAAAAGGTCCGGCCTAGCTACGCACAACGGGGGCTCTGCTCACTGTCACTGCTGTTCGTTTGTTTGAAGTGGACGTTGAACTTTCAAAGATGCCCCAGCAGTGCAAAACATCACCCAGACCGATGCCATGTTGCCGGTGCACACCAATGATTCATTCCATAATACTCTCCAATTTCGTCATGCTGCGTACGTCTGCGCGGTCGTCTGCAGTTTGCGGAATTTGCCCGGCAAGACAGCATGGGAAGCAAAGTTCATTCCACCTACAAGACTGGGTGCTGTATCATACTACAAGAGCAGTCGTTCCACAAAAAAGTTGGTTTCTGATAAATGAAATCGGATGAGCAGAACCTAGGTTTATGCTTTACCCTATTATATAATTATTAGACGAGGCACGAGCTACACATGCACTTGTTGAAATCTTGCGACATGTTTATAGGTGCAACAACATGTCCGGACCACGTGAATCTTGATCGTCATGGATGCCGTGGAAAGATAAGGAAAATCCAGCGAATGATCCCATCTATCTTGCACTTACGAAAATGAGATGTCCTCTCTTCTCATTTAGAAGAAGCGTGTACACGTTTTTCTTGTGTTCTTTTGCGGCAAACTGGCTTTATCACTAAAACAATAATAACAATGAAGACATCATGGACATGATACTTTTTTTTTCAAAAAGGAGGATGACCTCCGGCCTTTGCATCTGGGAGATGCATATGGCCATTTTATTGATTATTCTTGAGGACATTACAAAGTATAACAACAATATGCCCGAATCCGCCATCTTGTAAGCATCTGCCGCTACTCCTATCCAAATGATGAAGGGGTGCAAACTGGGCCACATGCCCATACCTCTCACCTAAGCTTAACATCTAAAGCCGGAGGCCCCGACCGAGCCATCTGCCGGGTCCAGGGCTCAAACCGGTCCGACGAACTCACATGTGTCATCGCCGCCATCTTCCACTGGTCCATCTTCAGAGCAGATTGAGGTGATAACCCAGGTCCTCCGCCATCGACGCCAAACGACGACCTCCACCTACGCGAGCCTTGGTAGGTCCTTCGCCATTGAAGCCACCACGACGCCAGCCGACGACCTTCACCTACGCGACTCCATCTCCAAGCAACGAACGTAAATCCATGCTAGGAAAGGGCCGCACCACCGCCGTCACCCACCACCCACAAGCGCCTCCCAACCCCAAGGTTCCCAAAGTGGCGCCTTCAAGAAGGAAACGGCGCCATGAGCGCCACCGCCGCCCAACAAAGTTAGGGCTTTCGCCCGGGAAACCTAGGGGAAGGTGAAGTGAGGAGATCAATCCATACGACGCCTCCAAGGAGGGAAACGGCACCCTCAGGCGTCGCCGTCGACGTAGCCGGTCATGGCCGGCAAGGGATTTTGCCCGAACTAGATCTCCGCCACCAGTAGCACCTCCTGTACAGAACCGACTGAAGGAAATATGCCCTAGAGGCCATAATAAAGTTATTATTTATGTCCTCATATCATGATAAATGTTTATTATTCATGCTAGAATTGTATTAACCGGAAACATGATACATGTGTGAATACATAGACAAATATAACGTCACTAGTATGTCTCTACTTGACTAGCTCATTAATCAAAGATGGTTATGTTTCCTAACCATAGACATGTGTTGTCATTTGATTAATGGGATCACATCATTAGGAGAATGATGTGATTGACATGATCCATTCCGTTAGCCTAGCATTTGACCGTTTAGTATATTGCTATTGCTTTCTTCATGACTTATACATGTTCCTGTAACTATGAGATTATGCAACTTCCGTTTACCGGAGGAACACTTTGGGTGCTACCAAACGTCACAACGTAACTGGGTGATTATAAAGGAGTATTACAGGTGTCTCCGAAGGTACATGTTGGGTTGGCGTATTTCGAGATTAAGTTTTGTCACTCCGATTGTCGGAGAGGTATCTCTGGGCCCTCTCGGTAATGCACATCACTACAAGCCTTGCAAGCAATGTAGCTAATGAGTTAGTTACGGAATGATGCATTACGTAACGAGTAAAGAGACTTGCCGGTAACGAGATTGAACTAGGTATTGGATACCGACGATCGAATCTCGAGTAAGTAACATACCGATGACAAAGGGAACAACGTATGTTGTTATGCGGTTTGACCGATAAAGATCTTCGTAGAATATGTATGAGCCAATATGGGCATCCAGGTTCCGCTATTGGTTATTGACCGAGAATAGTTCTAGGTCATGTCTACATAGTTCTCGAACCCGTAGGGTCCGCACGCTTAACGTCACGATGACAGTTTTATTATGAGTTTATAAGTTTTGATGTACCGAAGTTTGTTCGGAGTTCCGGATGTGATCACGGAAAATGTCAACGTCATGGCTGTCCCTTCTTGTACTGTATATTCATTTTACTTTTTATCCTGATTAGGAATTTTCGTCTCATCATGGACCTGACGTCTGATACCACCCAATACACTACTGGTGGAGACTCTCTCTACATTACCGGCCACTACAAAACCGAGATCTAGCGACGCTCGTCTTAGTTTAGTTTGTGGTCATGTATCAATCAACATCACATGCATGCGTTCATAGAGGTGAGTGTATATTCGTATTAAGAGTCTATGTTTGTGTTGTATTCAAACAAAAACTAATCAATGGACAAGTTGATAATTTGGTACGATAAAAACGATTCTCAAGTTGGGCACTTGGTTCGCGGGAATCCCACCATCTTCCTTCTGGCTATATCTCATCGTGGGTGGCATGGAAAGATTAGAAAAATCTATCGAATGATTCGTAGCAAGACTGCACTTTATGAAAGTGAAATGCTCCCCCTGCGATTTCTCCTTTTACCCATTAATTGGTTTATTAATCTAATAAAGCCATGACAATTGATAACACAAGAAAAGAAACTGAAAATAAAGACTAGCGATAAAGCTTCGTGATGAAGACCAAAAGTTACATAATATTGTCTCTTAATTTCTGTTTGCGACGTGCTAAATAAATTGCAGATCTCATACCCATGATTTTTATCTTTGGCAATGATAGACCAGCTTAATTTTTTTTTTAAATTTTCTTGATGCAAAGATATTAAAAAAAACGTCTACGTATAGTGTATACAGGGCCTATTTGGTTCATAACTAATTTGGCGTAAGCATCAAATGCAAATATATTAACACACTAGATTGATTAAGGGCATGAACCACAAAAGTTTAGACACACTAGATTGCTTAAAGTGAATGTCGCTAGTTCTTTCAATGAATAATTATAGTTTGGTATGAGTCGAAATCATGCTCTCTTTTTACATGACTTGACTATTACATGTCCTGTTTATGGGACATGCATGTTAAATCATGTTTCTAAGCATTTTCTCAGTGCTTTGTTGACTTTATTGAGATATATTCCATATTTTTTTGTCAAGAAAATAAATTTTATAAAATCTACTACATGATTGCATTTACAGGGATTATGATCCCACCCATCCTCGAATGTCTCTCCTCCCCGCATGTTCTCTTAGCAATAGCTTGGAGGGAGGGATTGGCAACTTGCAGGAGGCGGGGCGTTTAAGAGCTTACGAGACGACATGAAATCTAAGATCTGAGGTGTGTGGCAAAGGGTTTTGAGTGTTGATGGTGGATCGATGTTATACCAACAAATGTTAGAGGATTGATAACGGAGACACAATGTGCCACCAGCCAAGGGTGATAGGGGTGACAATGAAGCCTCGCCAAATTCGACACGTCGATTGAGATGGTGTCTTTTATGTACAAATATCCTCAATGCTTTTTCGAACTTGTTGTGCGCATATTCCATATACCTAGTTTCAAGACAATTAGCTTAGTTTTTTTTACTCTGGCATAACATTGATTATTAAGGTCCCACACATTCTTGAATGGCACAATGCAAAGTTACACTCTCTCCTCCATCGATCTTTTTCTCTATGCTCGCTTGAAAGGATGGAGTGGAAAGTGCGTAAGATGTGAGGTGTGCAAGGGCATACAAAATTTCACGATTATGCCTCTCATGGCAGTTGTTGTGTTGCGGCGAGCTACGTGCTCTTGGTGTTGTCTCGGTTCATCTTTGTTCAATGATGGCGCAAGATGCCTTTCCAACTTCCTAATCATCCCGATTTCCTGTAGCGGAGCTCTCAACCAAGGTTTGTGTTCATTGCGCTCTCTCGGCGAACATTGCTCCAATTCTTGCCTTTCCTGGCAGAGCATGTGGCCATGCTATGACAATCGTTGATTGTGGATGTTCGTGTGTTGCGTCAGGGTTTCGATACGCACATCGGTATTGTCGGCCGTTTGCACGACGACACCCCACATCTATTTGTGTCTCGTGTTGTGATGATCCTTCTATTTGCTAGCTAGGTAATGCTTTGTTCAATTGTTCTAGACGTCAATTTTTTTTTCTCGTCTTCCTTTATACTTGTCACTTGTATGGTTTTCGTCTTGGTTTCCCTCACAAACGGAGGCAAATTATTTAGGTTTTTATTTGTTTCTATTATAAATTGGATCAATATTTTTTTGAATAAGATTAAATCTAAAACTTGGATTCTAATAGGCTGATTCCACCACAAGGAACCTAATCATTTGAGCTGCGTTCGTTTGCACCCTCGCCTTGCACCCTCGCCTTGAGGAGCAGGAAGACAGGAGAATCACC